CCGCTTACCTCGCAGGCAGCGCTACTTGGCGGGACGCTCGGCGGGCAGCGGCCACCTGGGCTGGGCGCAGGCTGAGCCCTCCCCCTATTTCAGCCGCGGAACACGGGGGCTTCCGCCCCGCCTCCAGCAGCTCTCGAGGGGCGGGCCCGGCCCCTGCTCTCGGGGCGCTCCGGTGGCGGCGGCAGTGGCGGAGCAGCTTCGACACAGCTCCCGCCTCCCCGCCCCCTCCGCCGGGCCCTTGATCCAATTAACGGGAGCGGGCTCTGTCCAGGCAGGTGGGGCTGGGGCAGGCTGCTGGGAGGGCAGCGCCGGCTCCCGTCGCCGTTCCCCGCCACGAGGAGGGCTGGGGTCGGCCCTGGGCCCGGGGTGAGGAGGGGGCCGACTGAGGTCTGAGCGGCCGGGCCCCCGGTCGTGGTGGGCGGCGGGAGCGGGAAGGAGACAGCCCCATGAAGAGCTGCCTGCCCGGCCCTGCCGTGAAAAGTTGGGCTCCTGTCTGTGTTGCCCAATGGCTTTGGGGCTTTCGCCTGTTTTAAGTTAGTTCTCCTATGTGCTGTGCAGGCCAGCTGGCCTCCGGTGTGCTGGAGCAGGAGGCCCAAGCAGGTTACTCAAGGCCGGCTCCTACCCAAGTGAAATGCTGTGCTCTTGCTTGTGAGCATAGCATGGGTCAGTCTTCCTGGGCTTGAAGACTGGCTTCACCTTGGTTGAGGTAGCATCCATCTTTCAGCCTGATCCTGTTTTCGGTCACTCTCCCTTTCCTTTGAAAACATTTACCTGAATAATCTGGACCTTGTCTTTAAGCCCTAATAGCCTTTAAGATGACACCAGCTGTTTCTAAATGCCTGCCAGCATTTCCATTTCTAGCGCCAGGCCCCAGGTATGATTTCACCATGACACTGGGGCAGGGCTGTTACGAGAAGCACTGGGAGACCTGCCTCCTCTTGACTGCTTCCAAGTGACTTGAGACACAATTCCAAGCACCAGCTGTGGGTTTACAGTGATGTTTATTCAATTGGTGGAGAAAGGAAAGACTGAGAGCCTTGCAGGGGGAAGAGAGGAAAGAGTGTGCTGTAAATCTGTACTTCCACTTCTCTGGAGCAGTGCTTGGATGTTTTTTCTTTACAACTGCCCCAGGTTTCATAAGACCCTGGAAATTAACTGTACTGATGCTGTGTTGGAAAGTGGACATTAGGAACCATTCCACTTAAATTCTTTTAAGGCAAATGCTCAGTGTGCGGTCCCTGGAAGATGGGCACCCATGGTAGGTCATTGGCTGTGGTGTGACCATGAGCATCCTTTCAAAAAGTGAAGAAAGATGCTTACCTTGTCCTCAAAGTTAATCACAGTTTAGGTATAAACACCAACTTTGTTTTTACTAAAACATAACCAAAACCAAGTCTTTGTCATAGGTACTCCCTAATTCAGTTACGTTCTGAGTTTTTCATTCCGTTATCAAATTAATGTATCTTAAGAAAATACAGAAAAGGCAAACACCTCGTGCATTAATATTCTATATCCAGCGTTTGCTATGTTTTCATGCTAATTTCTATATTGATAGTCCACATAACTGAGCATCTAAGATAGATAACGTCCATTTGGGACCTGGGTGCTGCTAATACTGCTTGCAGGGTGAGGGTACTCCATAGCATGGCTGCTGCAAGCCTTGCCTCCAAGGCTGGAGTGGCTTAGGGAAGATGGGGAGCTCAGGTAAATGACGTCATAACAATTGTAATATTTTTGTTCATTTTCCTGGTGCAGCTTAGCAATGGTCATAGCATAAGAGGTCAGATAGCGTGATATCTACTCTTTTTCTTTTATCTCCTTAGGATTATATATTTTTTCCTACTTTTTAGTGGAATATAGGCTTTGTTTTCACATGAACGGCAAGCTTTAGTTGCTGTAATAGTATACATCAGTAGTCAAACTAAAGTAGCCAAAAATATTTGTGCTTTGGACAAAAATCTAGGCGACAAGGAGGACACGTAATGGTATTACCAATACCATGAAGTTGATCTTAATCACAACTTAATCACAACCAGACTCGGTGACAAGATAGCTTTATTCTGTGGAAGAGAACCACAACCTGCAACTGAGGCACAGCCTCAACATATTTGTACATCAGACAAAAGGCATCATAAAAATAAGCCTAATATCCTGCCCACACAGAATTATACTCCTCTGACTTTGCTGCATACTGTAGTTCAAAGAGTGTGAGACTGTAAATACATATAAGAATATTTTCTCAAATTAGTCTTTCTCTGGCTTGCTCAGAGTACCGTACGGACACTGAGCTGTGGGACGCCAGTGGCATTTTTTCTGTGGATGAATTGTGTACTGTCTGCTGTTCTTGTCCTTAGTGGATAAAAACTACAAAAATATTTGGTGATTCTCTAGAGAGAAAGTAAACTTGGTGTTAGTCATCAATACAAACACTGTATTTACTATGTGGCCTCACCTTTAGTACTGTGTACAGTTCTGGGGGCCACACTTTAAGCATGTTGAAGTCCTCGAATGTGTCCAGAGTTTGGACTTGTCTAGTTCGGAGAAGAGGATGAGAGGTAATCTCATGGCTCCCTACAGCTTCTTGAGGAGGGGAAGTAGAGAGGGAGGTGCTGATCTCTTCTCCATAGTATCCAGTGATGCACAGGAAGGGTTTGAAGTTGCACCAGGGCACGTTTAGACTGGACACTAAGAGGCGTTTCTTTACTGAGAGAGTGGTCAAACGTTGGAACAGACTTCCTAGAGAAGCGGTTGATGCCACAGTCTGACAATGTTTAAGAGGCATTTTGACAATGCCCTTAATACCAGGCTTTGACTTGATCAGCCCTGAACTGGTCAGGCAGTTGGACTAGGTGCTCACTGTAGGTCCCTTCCATATGAAAGTCTATTCTACTCTATTCTATTCCATTCCACTTCTGAAAAATGCTAACTGTGATAGCTCCAATAGGGAAATATGTAAGTTGCTCTGTGTGTACTCTGCATGGGGACAATGCTGCTGGGAGACAAATGGAGTGGGGACAGGGAATGCACATCTTTGCTGGAGATAACTTGGATAACAGCATCAGAGTTTTATTTGGGATCCTATGATGAAGACTTCCACAGACCTATAGAAGAAAGTGTTGGTCACTGTCAAGATATGAAGAATTTTTTTTCTATAGTAGTTTTTCTTCCCAGAAATCAAACCTTTGAAGCTTCAGAAGCAAGAAGGGAAGTGCTGTGTTCAATTATTCCTCTTGCTGTATTTTGCTAACGGATACAATTTGAAGAAGAATGCAGTGTATTAGAGAAGCGCCTGGTAAGACCTTAAGACTTGATGATTGGGTTGACGTATATGTTCAAAGCCAGATTGTGTTTGTCAGTGGTTATCATTTTTGTATATGGCATTCTAATACAGGATTGTAGCAACTAATACAACTTTGTTACTGTTCAGGAAAAAAGCATAGAGACTGGGCGTTTGTTGTTTTTCCGTGCATTTCCTAATATGTGAGAAAATACATAGGTTACTATAGTTATAGCACAAAAAATACCAACACTTAAAACCAAACCCCAGTGCCCCACAGCTCAAGGCCTGGCTATGTACAGATATTTTAGGACCTGTGTTCATAGCCAGCTTTGGGTGACTGCATCTTAATGATTTAGCATAGGCACTGGGAGGCCTGAATTATGGGACGCTACTGCTCCGGAGGTAAGGGATAAGGTTCTCCATGCAACATGGCCCCTTTGCAGGTGGAGGGGAAGTGCTGGTACCTTCTGCTGTGTTGGTAGGGCTCTTCCTTCCCCATTCTTGTCAGCTTCGTCATGCAAGGTCTGGTACTCTCTGAGCAGCTCTTGACATGACTTTTTTATGTGCTTTTGAAGCGCATTTTTTTTCCTGTTGGGTTCTGACACCAGGTGCGTTTTCTTGTGTAAGTTGTGTTTTGAAATAGTATCGTGTTTTTAGTTGCTGTTGGTTACTGTATTTGGGGCCCTTACCAAACAGCTTTAATAAGCCAGTTTGGTGCTCTTAGAAACCAATAAGGTGTGTAAGATTGTTGAGTGCTGCACCAAGACAACAACAACAGGCAGACAAAGGACACCTCGCAGCCACCTCCCGTGCCCTCCGGCTCCAGCGGAGCCAGAGCTGCTGCCCACGCTGATCACCGGGGAGGCCGGCAGAGGTAAGGGCGGTGGAGGCGGGCAGGAGCTGGGCCGGCACCCCGCGCCCTCTCCGGCCTCCCCCGAGGCCGGAGCCCCTCAGCGGCAAGGGCCGGGCGGGGACCGCCGTGGCCGAGCTCAGCTCTGGTCCCGGGCCGGGCGGGGGCCGCTGACCCCCGTTCCCGCCCCGGTTATGAAACCGCGGGGGAGGGGCCGGTGCCGCCCGCCAACCGCGGCGGCGCCGGGGGAGCCGAGGCCGCCGGAGCGCAGGTGAGAGCGGGCCGGCCTTTCTCGGCCAGGCCGCGGGGGCGCCGGGCCGGGCCGGGCCGGGCCGGGGCTGTGGGGCGGTCCCGCGAGGCCCGGAGCCGCCGGGCGGGCGCTATTCTGGGGAAGCCTGCGGGGTGCCCTCCGAGCTATATTTATATATAGCCATATATTTAAATATATATAGCCGTGGCAGCCATTCAGGAATTCTAAATAAGTTCAGCGCGAGCACGGGATCAGCCCCTGGCTGTGCTTCGGGGAGGATCCGCCGGGGGGATGCGTGTGACGCATCGCCCGCCGGCTGCGAGGGCGGCTGGGGGAGGCCCGCGCCTTTCCTCGGGGGCCTGGTGGCGTTGTGGCCGTCACAGCACGGCACACGAGGGGCTGCGGCCCGTCGCTGTCGGAGGAGCAGCCCAGGTGTGGTTGCCAGCCAGGGCGGGAGCCCAATCCAAATACCAGATGGTGGTTGTGAGTAAAAGTGGTCGCTAAACTGGAACTGCCTTCTGAGAACGGTTGTTGGAAGATCAGTCAGCCCAGGCCATCATCATAAAAGCTGAATCTAAAGAGCTCTGTGTAAGCTACTACTGAAAAAGTTAGGATATTATGTGGCTTCACAGATTTATTTCATGCAGATCTATGGGTTTCAGGCTTGAAAGTTTGGTAGAAGCACATCTATCAAAACATATTCTAGTGCTTTAGGATATGTTAGTTTTCATATGTAAACAAAGAAGAGTTTATTGAACCTCTTCCCCTCTTCAGCAGAGTGCAACAAAAAGCCAATGCCATACTGATGAAAGAGGGTACAGGTATAATGACTACTTTCAGACCACTGGGATCATTACAACTTTCTTCTCTGTCCTCTAGTTGGAAGTGTATGGCAGTCTTACCTTCCATGCTTGCTTTGCTTTCAGTGATCAGACAGAATGGCTCCAGTGAACCAGCCAAAGGACAAGGAGTATGAGAGGGTGCACCAGCATTGGCCAGAGGAGGCAAAATCAGCTGGGAAGAGGAAACCGGACTACGAGAAACTAGGGAATGAGACACAAGCAAAGAGGTTGTTCGTGAGAAAAACATCTAAACCCCCAGGGAAAATTGGTAACGTTTCCTCAGATCCTTACTGTTTTCTCTCTACCAGACTTATTGCAAATGATAGGCTTTGACTAGTTAAAGAGCAAGAATGCCAAGAAACGTGTTCAGACGTGAGTGTCTTGAGATGGTGTTATATATTGAAGTGATAGGTGGGTATGTACTGGGGTAGTACATCCTCTGATTTTATGTATAGTGAGTGTGTGTGCATGCATGCATGTTTAATTTTTGAGACTGTACCCCTTGGTGAAAGCCTGCTCAGTGAAGATGCTGTCACTTGAGCTCATTTGAGGGTGGTTAAATTTAGGGTGGTTAAGATTTGTGGAATTCCTGTATTACCAGATCTCTGCTTTAACGTAGAACAGACCGGTCTTGGTAATACATTGTTTCTCTCTCATGCAATTCTTAATGCAGTTTAGTAGTCATAAGGTTGATATCCTATAGCATGCAGTCTAAACTGGCATTTTCTCCTGATTCTTTGCATATTTAAACTTTTGCTACAGTAACTAGAATACTTTCTACTTCTATGTTTAGATTAGAACCGACAGAATTTCTACAAATCGTGTGCAGTTTTTTCCTTTAATATGTAACTTAGGTAAAAAAATCTAAAGATTTTTCATGTAATGTGGAGAAGTGATTGATTTCTAATGTACTGGAAAGTTTAGTGCTTTGAATTACCAGGAAAGTTGACTAGACTTTACCTACAGCAAGGACTTTTCATAGAGACATTTAGGTTGGAAGAGACCTTTAAAGTCATCAAGTCCAACCGTTAACCCAGCACTGCCGCCACTAAACTGTGTCATTAAGTGCCATGTTTACATGTCTTTTAAGTACCTCCAGGGATGGTAACTCAACCTCTTCCCTGGGCAGCCTCTTCCAGTGCTTGACAACCTCTTCAGTGAAGAAATTTTTCCTAATGTCCAATATAAACCTCCCCAGTGCAACTAGAGACCTTTACCTCTTGTCTTATCACTTGTTAACTTTGGAGAAGCGACTCCCTTGCTACAACCACCTTTCAGGTAGTTGTAGAGAGCAAAAAAGTCTGCCTTCAGCCTCCTTTTCTCAGATAAAACCTTTAATTCCATCAGTGGTTTAGAAGATCACTGGGGCTACTGCCTTGTGTGGAGATACTACACACTTTCTGTACAATTCTGGCTTTAAGGAACCAGAAAATACTGAAGTGCATTTCAACAGTCAAAGATACAGGGGTTCTATGATTTTAAACATTTCCATTGTGTGGTCTGTAGGTCCAAACTTGGAGCAGTTAGCAGTGTGAACAGTGGAGACAAAATACTCTTTGAAACGAGTTCTGTATGTAATTGTGGATGGTTAAAGCATCTTCTGTAGTTAATTTAGCTACATGATATTATTGTAACTTCATGGCCTGATTTTTAGATTCAGTAAGCATCTGCCATTCTTGTAAGATTCAGAGGTAATTGGATGTAGCTAGTACTTCGGAAAAATGAGGCCAATCATATTTTTCCCCTAACTGTTTTTAAAAAGATGAAGACCTTTGTATTTGAACTTTTCAATTCTGTGTTCCAGTTTTTATGTGTTTGGAAAAAACATTTTTTTCTCCTGAGCCATATAGAACAGTTTCTGTTTCTTGCAATTAGAACAACCTTTTTGAAGGATTTCTTCCAACAAATTCTAAAAAGGTCTGAAGTTTGTTTCTTAACAAATTATCCTTCATTGTAGAATGGAATTTTGAAAAAATACTGGAATTTCTGTCACCTCTGAAGAAGGATACTAATTCTTCAGTGAAAAACATGAATTAAAATATAAATACTTTTATACCTATTTCAGCAGGTGTGACAAATGTTGGCACTATGTTGGCATGTGAACAGAGAAGTTCAGTTTCACACCTGTGCATTTCTGGGCTCCACCGCTGCATTAAAGAAAGATTTCATTTAGGTTCTGATCATATAGAATGATTCATGTGTTTTCAGTCTTCTTTTTTGTTCTTTTTTAAATGAAAATTGCATTTACGTTTCTTAAGAAATGCATTTGACTTCTGGATCCCCTGGGGTGTTACAGACCATCGCTGTGGGGATGAGTAGGTCACAGACGTGGGACTGAACAGATCTAGTTTTTACGTAAAAGTCCCTGAAGATAAAAACTTGGAACATGAACAAAATGTAGAAACAAGCTGTACTCTCAGCAAAAACCACTTTGAACAGAAAGGTTTTCAGCGATGTGGCGTCAGCAAGTCTGTTATCAAAAACAAAACTCGCAGTGCTGTGAGCAGACTGTACAGGCTCCAGCACAGGCAGATCGAAAATTCTGATTCACAGGCAGGCATTTCAGGAACTGGGTGGGAACTCACATTGCTATGCTTGGGGAATTTTCAGGTGTTTCTGCTGGTCACACGTCTGACCTTTCTTTTGCTGGATGCAGGGGCTTACCATCTCCCATGGCATGTTTACAAGTTGTTGGCATTTTGTATAGCAGCATTGTGCTTTGGGTTGAACATTCAAATTGTACGCTGTCCGAGAGATGGCACCACCCATCTGTGCCATTGTTTTAGTCCTCTCCTCTTGTCCTTGATAAATCTTTGGCAAAGAAAAGGAAGGTTTAACAAGAGGAAGCATACACAAAGCTCTGGCAGTCTGTGTGAACCACTGGACTCCATAACTGCAGAAGCTGCTGTACATTAAGATATGTAAGAATTATTTAGAGACTTTTCTCTTGTGGCTGAAGCTTTTCATGGATGTAGCAACAAATGCAGATGTCTTCCTATACTGTTAAGTGAATGAGTTGCCTGTCAGTAAGTTTCACTCTGTTCTTCTCTGGCAGGTTGGAGTGGAGGTGGGTCTGTGGTGGGAAACAAGAGAGTCCTTTCCCATCAGCTGGAGCAGCAACGCAGCATTGTTCATTATGTCTATCAGAACATGCTGGGAGGCTCCATTCGGGCACCACTCAGGCAGGTGAGGAGTGTCTCCTTCACGACCTTTTGGACATCTCAACTCCCTACATAAAAAAAACCTTCAACGCAAGCAGGAAAACTTAAAGGGGCTTAAAAGTTCTCCTCCTACACAGTTTGTGGCTCCAAGTCTGATGCACCCTTGTATTTCTTAATTGTGTAAAATGCAGGAGTTGAGATGGCTTTCCCTTTTGGTTGACCCAGCCCTGTCATCTACCTTTTATCCTCTGTTAATTCAGTGCTTCCTTGAATCATGTTTAAACTTGCTGAGTCTACCAGCTGAGTAATTGCACAGTGATACATTTGCATGCTGCTCTGACTGTTTTGTCATACTATTCTAGTATCCACTCTGCTTTGCTAGTGTTATTGGGTTTAGTGTTGATTTTTACCTCTTCACAGATGTAGCCCATCAAGTCCATAATGTTTTACTGTTTTCCAGAGCCATACACTTTTCATTTGAAAAGTAACTCTTTCTGTAACATCCGTAGGTGGGAAGCACTTGGGCTAGCTTTATCTTCCTGATGATTTATGCATTTTAAGTATCCAAATGATAAATTGCCAAGCTCTTCCAAGCAGTACCTATTTTTCAGCTGAACAGCAATGTGATATGTCATGGTTTCTCATTCCCTGTTTCAAGTGTTCTGTTCACTCCTATGCTGTGTAGTTGAGCAGCAGAGGAGTTGGATGGAGGAGCATAATATTGTATCTCTGGATGACATGTAACATTTTGAGATGCTCAGTAAAGACGTAGACTATCATAAGAGCCTTTTCTAGGTGTGGAGGCATGTTCTTCTCCCTTGTTAATTACTCAACCTTTTTAGCTCAGCCCACAATCTCTTAACCCTGTACATCATTTAAAATATGGTACCTCTCAGTTTCTGTTGCTTTCTGAGTGCTGTGGCTGATGTGGATTCATGTGGTCACAGGCTGTTTCCTTTGGGTTCAGCACATCCTCTTCATTTTACAGAGAGGTTTAGAATTTTGTGTGAATGTACTAACACTAATGACAATTAGAAATTGTTAGCACTCATCATTCAGAGAATCTCAGGGATGCCTGCAAAAGTCATTATTCTCTTTACCTTTTTAACAGTGTCTGCAGCTGCCTTTTCTGCGTTCTCTTGCCTCATATCGCCTCTTTCGAACAGCAAGTCCTTTTGACAGGAGAGTGACATGCTTGGAATGGCATCCAACACACCCCAGTACAGTAGCTGTTGGTTCCAAAGGTGGAGACATCATCCTTTGGGACTATGAAGTACTCACTAAAACGTGCTTCATAAAGGGGGTAAGCCTCTGTGTGTGTGGAATGGGTGGGAGGGAAAACCAGAGTACCACAAAGTACTGCAGATGAAAACTGAGGTCTGTTGTGAGAAGCACATCAGGGTCTTGGGTTTCAGAGTAGTCGGTTATGGGGCAGGACTGAGATGCAACAGCATGTCTGTTTCTACGTCCCAGACTGTTCTAGCACTGGGGAGAACTGAGGCGTGGTGATTTAAGTTCATAATGAAGCAATACTTAGTGTGTGCTCAGTGGAAAAATAATACAGCAACTGGCAAAACAGTTATCTTAAAGGGATGCCAGAAACGACTAGGCAGAGAGGGTCAGTCTGCCTTAGGTCTCGATCTTTCTCTGCTAACCTTGTATTGTGTCAGATGAAGAAACATCTTTGAGTGGGGAGAGACAAAGTGCCCTTAGATAAAGGGAGAAACTAAAGTAGAATGAATGGTTTATACAGCTGGCATACCCCCTTGTTTTATTCAGCCATTTCCATTCCAACAGGGGCTCAAAGACTTTGTAACTTTCATTGCCTTTCTAAATTAACATAGATATACATTGAGAGATCCATTCTCCAGAAATTCCAGAGTTGTATTTCTCTTTTTGTAAATAGTGAAGTGCAAGCCAGCAAGGGAATACATTGCCTGGGGACTGAAGGAGTTGCAGATTTGTCCTCTAGGAGGGCAGCTGTCTAGACAGCCGTCATGTGGGAGACATGGTTGTCTTTGCCTGTTTAGAGGGCTGCGGTCTGTTTCACTGTTGCTGTTGTAGACAGCAGTGAATGCAGACTACAGAACACACTTTTCTCCTTCCCCCTCACTCAGTGGATTTTTCTTTTGTTCATCCCCTTCCTTGTAGATGGGAGCTGGAGGGGCCATCACAGGAATGAAGTTTAACCCTTTTAACCCTAGTCAGCTGTACACTTCATCAGTTGCCGGCACTACCACCCTGCAGGATTTTAATGGCAATACTGTCCGGGTCTTCACCAGCACCGAGGACTGGGAGTAAGAATACAGTAATGCTTTGGGCCTCTGTGTCCTGCTGGCAGGAGCACTACAGGGAGAGAGAGAGAGAGAGAGTGAGAGAGAGAGAAAGAGAGAGAGAGAGAGATGTTTGTCTTGAATATGTGAGAGCTGGGTTTCCTCTTCCCCACTTATGTGTCTTCTGTTCTCTGAATTTCAGGGAGGCTCATTCTTTTAATTTTTTCCTGAAATGGGGTAGTGGGTAGGAGAGAGCTTTTCTTCACCAAACGGGAGGGACTCTTTGATGCTGCATCCTGTTGTACATGAGAGAGTAGGGGTGCCAGTGGATTTCCTCAGCCCTCTGTTCTTAAAACTTGCCAAAACTTGTGCTCTAGGGATCTTCTAACCTCTTCACCTGCTAGCAGTGCTACTTGTTGTCAGATGGTTTTTACATGACAATTCATAGTTCTGTCAGTGCTTCTCCAGTAATGCCACTGACTTCAAGCAGTGCGTGCTGTAAGGATCATGCCAATTCATTCCACCTAGCTTTTGGTGCTTACCCAAAATACCAAAATTAAGAGTCTGGGCTCCTTCAGTAATGAGTGAAAAGAGGAGATGAATTGTTAGAGGCAGCTCTAAGAATTACCTTCTCAGACTGTTGTTTTTTTTGTGGACTCATGAGGAAGTCTCAGCTCTCCCATTAGTTACATTCAGTGCTTAAAGGTAAGTGAGAGAATTTGGGTTAGCTTCTGCATTACTTTTCCCCATGTGATTCTTTCTGGGTGGCAACTTTTATGGTTGTTTTCCAAATTGGCTGTTCTCCTGCAATCTTGTAATAGCACAGAAGGTGAACCCAGTGCTGGGAGGACTGGCCAGGTGAGCAAGGAGACATAAACTGGGTCCTGGGACACAAGGATCCCAGTGGGATAACTGTCGCAGCAATGATGCCTGGATTTGAAAGGCCAGGCCATCTCCTTCCACTCCTGTGAGGACAGGCAGGCTTTATGGGTGGGCCTTTTTTTAATATTCATTGGCTTCTTGAAGTCTAGTATTTACAGTGAGACCTTAAAGTAGTTGTTCTTTGAGCAGCAGATGGAGTGTACTTGAGTATCAAAGAGTTTGGGGAATCCCAGCTAGTATTCTTCTTTTCTGTCATTGTGTAGGGTTTCCAAGTTTCCTCAATAGACAGGCTAGGGGAAAACAACATAACAGTATGACGTAACACAAGATTCCTGTGCCACAGGGTTAGCAGTAAGATTCCTCTTTGCAACAGTCTCATCCTGCCTGTTGATACCTTGAGAAAGACCAGATACAGCCTGTAGGTAACTAGTGATGAAGTCTCTCTAAGAAAAGCGTGGGGCTGTGCTGTCATGAGATTTTTTGTGGTTTATGCATGGGATGGTGCTGGTTTTGCTTGTGATCTCCTAAGCCTGGTTTGAGCCAGGTGGTTCACTGAAGATTAGTCCTATCCCCATAACAGAAGCAGCAATGTTGCTAATGAGGTTTGCAGCCCAGCGTGGTGAGGGTGAACTTAAAAGGCTCAGAATGTACGTAAACAGATTGGAAACAGGTTAGAAAAAAAGTTCTTACGTATGTTCTCTGCCTGAAAGCAGTGCTTGTACCTCGGGAAACTGGCAGTGTGTTCCAGGAGGTGACTGTTGTATTAGGATTTTGTCTTCCACTCTAACCTTGATGCCTCTTGGCTTTGTGTGTATTTCAGAAAGGGGCTGGAGATTCTCTTGGAGACATCAAGTTCAGTCCTTATGAGGCAGTGAAGCTTTATGTGGCATCGGGTGATGGCACCCTAAGTCTGCAGGACCTTGAGAGCAGAGCGGTGCAGGTGATCTCTCGTGCCCCGGACTGTGGCCACGAGCACCATAATGTTTGGTGAGAAGAGGGCACTGCAGGGTTGAATCTCTGTTCCTTGGGGTTAATGCTGCACTGCTTCTTCAGATCTCTAACATCTTCATCTTTGCCAGTGTTAGGAGACTTGGTATGAATTAGTCCTGTGAGGGAGCTTGGAGACAGGGTCCTGGTCCTGACCTAGCACTGCAGGGTGGTGACAGGCGAGGCAGCACAGGGCACTTACACTTATACAGTAGCTGAACATGCTGCCTGCATCTTCTGGTGTTGCTTTCTGGTGATGCCATCTTGTATCTTGCAGATATTGACAGCTTTTCACTTTATAAAATGTGAGGTGAGAAGAGCAGGGTAACTTCCTCCTCTTCATTGTTGTCACTGGTCTGTTTTGTCTGTAGGAGCTCAGGTAGCATAGGAAAGTCACAAAACATTCCTGTGCCATCTTTCAGGTTATTGAGTTTACCCTGTGGCTCTTCTGGAGACTTCAGGCTCACAGTGTTCATTTCCATGGCCTTGAATTCTTAGAATAATTTATCTTGCAAGTAAAGATTTCACAACAAGTTCCCAAAGGATCCCAGCTTCATTCTCACTGCCCTTCCCCTCCCAGCAGAGCTGGGATTAAGACCTGCATCTTTATCAGATAAGTTTCTATTCAGTTTTGTTTCCTGGAGCATGAAGTTGAGACAGTTTGATGTGCAGCTTTTCAGTACAAAGCTTTTGTTTTTACCACTGTTTCAGTGTTTTGTGGAAAATGTAATTTTAAAGCTGTTTCTGCACATTTGTTGTTGTCCGAAGAGTGTTCTGATCTTTCCCAAGGTATGTTCACATCCAGGCACCAAGTGGCTCTTCAGCCTCTATTATGTTTCACTGTCCCAATATGTTACAGTCCATCTAGTGAGGACTTTGAAAATGACTAGGAAGTTATTTCAGATTCGGTCCCCAACAGAAAGCATTGCTGATAAACTGTCCTTCCTGGATACTGGACAGATACTCAGGCCCACACCATTGGGCAGGAGATTGCAGTTACAATCTGTTGCAGTCTCCCTTGTCAGGGATGAGATGTGAACCAGAGCACCAGTGCCTTCACTTTCCTGTGGGAGGAGCACTGATTTTGTGTCTTTCCCTCTAGCTGCTGGTACTGCAGTGTGGATGTTTCTGCAAGCAGCCGTGCACTGGTGACAGGTGATAATGTGGGCAACGTGGTCCTGCTGAGCACTTCTGGTGAAGAGGTTTGTATCCATGCAGCGTCATCTCTAAGGGAATCTTCATGTGCTTTCCTACACTACAGGGACCCCGAAAAGAGGAGCAAGCAGCTCAGGAGATGAGTCCACCTATTGTCTGGGTAGTGTGAAGTCCTCCACTTGTGCCATCCATTAGACATTTTCACACTGTTGAGTGTAATGGCAATAAATCCCAAACAGGGACTGTGTCTTGTCCTGTCCCTTACTTAAGATCTTTGCTACTGGCCAGAGTAATTATAGGGTAATGGGAAAATATGAGCACCCTCTGCCTCTGAGCACTTTCACACTTCCAGAAACCTATTGCACTGATGGGAGTCATTTGAGAGATACTGCTTTGATGTACATCCTTCCATGACCTAGGGGTAGGCACACAGCCCTAAAGCAGTGAAGGTAGGGATGGAAATCGCACTCCTGCCATTAGACACAAGAGGGCAGGCAGAGGCAGACTGAAGCGGTACAGAAACAGGAGAGAAGAGTTTGAGTGGACCCTGCTTCCAGAGCCTGCTGTACTGTCAGACTGGCATTGCCATTTCTCCTGCCTGTAAGGGTAACATCTGTAAAAGTTTGCCACTCTACTACACAAGGCAGTTGTGTAAATTAGCGGGTGGAGTCAGGAGTGCTCCACATTATTTGTCCTTATTCAAGGTTAGTTGCTTACTTTCCTTTTTTTTTTTTTCCCCTGAAAGAATGTGACAGTCTTTTTTGCACTTGGGAGATACCCATTATTTTAGGGAGTATGGGTCAGCTTCAGCCTTTTGATTAAAAATAATCTGGCTTTGCATCGAAATTTATTCATGGCCAGTTTATATTTATTTGTTGTTTTTAGCTGAAATATTTGACCAACACTCGTGTTTCTTTGCTGATATGTTTCTAGAAGCCAATTATATCTCCTCTCACCATGTTTACTAAGGTAAACAAAGCAAGGTTCTTTGGTCTTCCACACAGAGCAGGCGCTTCCTCTTGTTATCTTGGCAGCACGTTTTCTGTACCTGTTCCATTTTGTTTTAATCTTACTGCAAGTGGCACTGCCTAAAGTCTTCCAGATGTGATCCTGCTTTTTACAGTGGCACTAATACTTCCTTCCATGAACCAGGGATTACATCTTTCTTTCTCACATCTGTAATAAATTGGTGGATCACAGTTCTCCTAGGATTAAACAGTTATTTCCCAAGGTCATTCTTTTCCTTCTTTATTTCCAGTGGACAAACTCTTGGTGTATTTTAGAAGTTTAGTTACTCTGTAAATGTGAGACCTCTTTACCCTGTAGTGGTAGATTATTCCATTTCTTTACTCCAGACCTTGGTCATTTTTTTCTGTATGATTTTCTGTTTGCTGCAGATTTGGAAGCTGAAATTGCACAGGAAGAAAGTGACTCATGTAGAGTTCAACTCCCGATGTGAGTGGCTGTTGGCCACAGCATCTGTGGATCAGACAGTTAAAATCTGGGACCTCAGAAACATCAAAAACAAAATGAGCTTTCTTCATGTGCTTCCTCATGAGAAACCTGTCAATGCAGGTAAGTTGAGATAAGGATTTCATTGCATGGATGTCTGCAGAGAGTCCACTCAGCTCAGCTTTTATTGTGGTGGCAATGTGAGGTTTTACTCAGATTCCAAGTTGCATTGGGAGGAAGGCATTGGGAATGTGTGGCCAGAGGCAGGGAGGTGGACAGGGCATCTGCAGAACGTTCTTAAGCCTTTATATACAAACTGTGGCACTGTACCTTGAGAAGTGAGTTTGGAAGCATCGACAGAGGCTGAGATTAGAAAACTGAATTTATTGGAGCAATCCTTTGACAAAAGCAGAGCATAAGACTGTTTCTTGAGTGCAACTTTACCAGTTCATGGAAGTCCAAACTGCAGATGATTGTCTCATTATTCCACTTCTTTTCATTTGGATGAGCATGTTTCTTTCTTCGCTGTTTCTCCTTCTGTGATTCTGAAAGGAGACTAATTCTTAGGTAACTCTGCACTGTAGGTTTCAGCTTACTGTATGTAAGAGGCTTGAGTTTGTTTGAGACAGGTAAAACCTTGTTTGTTGAGAGACAGACATATCAAGTCCCTATTAAAGAAATAGCAATGGATTTTTAAATCAGAGAAATGTGATTTTTCTGTTTGGTATCAGTCACAGCACTGTGACTTTTAATTTGCCTTACTGTCCCCCTCTCCTAGCTTACTTCAGCCCAACAGATGGTGCAAAGCTTCTGAGCACAGACCAGCGCAATGAGATCAGGGTTTACTCATCTTCAGACTGGACCAAGCCACAGCATCTGATTCCACATCCACATAGGCATTTTCAGCACCTCACACCTATTAAGGTGAGTTAAGTCTCAGAGGAGCATCACGCTCGGTAGTAGCATCCAGCTGTAAATCAGAAATGATCTGATTACTGGTCAAGATACTACATTTGTGGGTGGATATTTACACTGCTGCAACTTCCAGTGGAGCACTGTTCCTCAAGCTGTGCGTGGGATCTATACAGTGTTGCTCAGTGTCAGTTGTCTGGTGTCAGTGCTGAGCTCTGTCCCTTTCTCTAAGCTCTCCATTACTCTGCTCTATGACTAGGCAACGTGGCATCCTCGCTATGACCTCATTGTCGTAGGTCGCTACCCAGACCCCAAGTTCCCAGAGTACACAATGGATGAGCTACGAACTGTTGATGTATTTGACGGAAACACCGGAGAGATGGTTTGTCAGCTCCATGATCCAAACGCTTGTGGTATCATCTCGGTGAGTTGAGCACTGCAGCTAAAAGGGTGGCTGTGTACTGAACATGGCTGTATCTCTGGGAAAGAGATGTGGGTTAGTGACGAGAACAATATCCTCTTTACTTATGATAGACTCATGCTGTCATGCGATACGGCTGCCAGCTAGAGCTGCTGACTCAAGCAGGGATAGCCCATGATCATCTGGGGGGCTTTTGTGATGCTCCTAGGGAACACTGGGTTTTCCAGATGGTTTGTTGCTGTTATATAAGCTGTGGTGCTCTTATGACTGTTACATAAGCAGTGATGCTCTTACAGACTGTGATTGTGTTTTCATTTTCAGCTCAATAAATTTAACCCTATGGGAGACACACTGGCTTCTGGCACGGGTAAGTAAAGAGAACCCAGGGTACTAAGAATGGGTGGATTCCAGTCCCAGAAAAGGGTTGCTTTGTTACTCGTATACTAAAGCAAGTTGTGAGAGGGGGTTGTCAGTAGTCCTCTATAAATTCCTACATTTGAAAAATAGATTAAGACTTTCTTTTCAGTCTTACACCTTTGCACTTGGAAAACAGGTCATCTCATGTGAAACATTCCTGAGAATATCAGGTCCAGAGGAGCGGGAAACCTCCTGGCAGCAGGGAGCCACTGCCACCTGCCGGCCATGAAACAGTAGAAGAAAACAATGGAGGGTGGAAAACCTTTTTCTGCTAGGGTGTACCCTTTCCCTTCATTTAATTTATCTCATTTCCTAGGCTGCAGAGCCAAGATTACTGTTTTTCGCAGGCTGTATGTTATTAAGGTAGCTGGCTATAGATTGAGGTCTTAGACTTGTGACAGATGAGATTAGAAATTAGCTCTATTTCTTAGTTAGATCAGATTTCCATGGCTATGTGAAAATAGTATCTGGCATAACTATTTTTGCATCCTTTATACCTTGGAAATACCTTAGAACGGACAAAGCCCTTTGAATTTCTGACTTTTAATGACATAGCCTAAGGTATTGTGTTTGATGTAGAATTTCTAATATACAGTGTTTAATTTTTCTTCTCAGGCTTTAATATTCTGATTTGGAGCCGGGAGGAGATGGTGGCCAAGAAGCAAGAACATCTTTTGAAAGCCATGACAGAACAGGGGATTGGAAGCTGGAGTTCATCCAGACGTGGAGGGCAGAGGCAGGCAAACCCTGGCACAAGCAAACTCAAAGCTAAGTTATTGTCTTGGGAGCTGGAGGAGACGAGAACAAAAAACAGTGATTCTAAATCCAAGGGAAGAAAGCGAAAAGGGAAGGATCTAGAGAAGTGATTTAGTATTTTGATCCTTTCTGAATCCCAGGGTACAAACTCAGTTCTTGCCAATGGGCAGTGTAAGCCGTACAGGGCATTAGACTTTGTCCCTCCTCCATGGATCTTATCTTGGTTCCCTAATCCTCTTGGCTTCCCCTTCTAGAAAGTTGCGTCAGTACTTGGTTTCTCCTGCAAATGGAGTTACCACTTATTTTCTGAGGCACTAAGAAAACTTCCAAGATGTTCTCAAATCCTGCTGAAGTTACTGCTTCCAATCTGCCATATCTGCTTGTCATCACTTGTCAGAGGTTACCATTTCCTGTAGTCTGCTGTAGAGCAGCTCATGGTTGGGTCTTCAGCCTGTTCTAGTCCAACTGAGTTGAGAAACCATTTGCTAACAGGATTAACATCCTGGAAAGGTAGAGTGTTTACAAGGCTGAGGTGATGGATAGCTTGGGTAGCCTAGGAAACACCAAGCTCTTCAACATGCAAGCTTCTCGGAAAATGTTTGTCAAAACCTCAGGCTTAGCCTGTTCTCTGCTTGCAGCTATTTAACTGGACCACAAAAAACATCATGATGCCAGAGGTGTCTACCTGCCTCATGGGATGCAAGGGCAGTATGGAGCTGGGCCTAATGATTCTGTAGTTTCTATTTTCAGAGTTCTTTCTTGCCACAAATTAGGTAATTTTTTTCACCCAGGTGCTTCAGAATGTTGGATTAAAGTGTTATAAAGCAGAAATGAGGAATTTCTTCCAAACACGCCTGCTCAGAGCCAAATCTCAAGACTGTTGTTAAAGTCTAAAGTTTTGCTTTTTCTAAATTGTTTACAAGGCTGCCCATGGCCTTGCTGCTGTCCCAGAGGTTGATGGATGGGATGGGCTCCAGGCCTGCGCAGATTCTCCATGTTCACTTTTATAGTTTTGCAGTATTAATAAAGTTTTGTACTAAACTAAAATTCTTTGATACAGAGTGGGTGCCTTGAGTATTCTGCTGAACTGCTTTTGTAGGGGGGAAGTTTGAGACCTTTCTGCAAGAGGGCTGCGAGACCTAGAACAGTGGTGGAAGTACCAGTCACAGTACTGGGTCTGCAATGGACCACTTCAAGTAGGGCAGGCAGGATGCATTATCAGCTCTATCTTTGCATAGTTGCTGCAGTCCAAAATAGCTTATCTTGATTCTCCCTGTGCTATATGTGGGATTGTGAAACATGGAATTCCTCTGGGAGAGGATATGCTGCAGTAAGTTCCGCCTGTTTTCCAACACTGAGCACACTGGTGCTAGCCCCACGAACTCTTAGAGAAGAAGAGGAGTAGAGTTCAGTGCGAATTTGATTTTAATAATGAAATGTATCAGAACAATTACAGAAAGTCATTCACAGTCAAAACGTCTAAATCATCATAGAAACGTTTCCTTTGTGTGTGCAAAATTTGGAGCCTTTAAAAATAACAGGTCTGGTCCTCTGAAATGCACTTTCTATTACCCCTTTCTTGTGCCTGTTCTCACAGGCAGGAGCTTTTTTTTTTTTACGACTGTCTTGCTGTGCAGGAGAACTAGTTTATATCTTCAGCGGACAAAAAGGTGAGGAAGATGCTGAGAACAGCAAGCTACTTCTGCTGATTTAGAGTTCCCATGGTGGCAGATGCTGATTATGGTGTGGGTAAAAGTCCCCATGGTACCCCTTAGGGCAAGAAAAGGAAATGTCTATAACCTAAGGACTGGCTTCTGCCGCCAAGAGGGGAAGGGAACTGCACCAGAAAGGGAAGTAAAAGTGGGAAGTGAATGTGCAGCATCACCATGTGAAGAGCCTGTGCTTCTGGTGCCCGCTGCAGTCTCATTTTTTGCCAAAAGATACAAGGCAGGTAGTGAGCACTTGGCGTGAAAGTCCCTGCAGCAGCTGCAGTCACTGAAAGGCCAGCCAGGAGAGAAAGAATCACGCTTTGGACAAAATGCTGAAGTGTGGCAAATAAAGGAGTCCAGTCACCTGCCAACTCTGATCCTTAATGGGGTTTTTTTGATTCTTTTCCATCCAGTAGGGAAGACAGGAAGAAAAACTATAGAACTTGGCATTTCATCTAGTCTTAGGTAAACAGCTCTGCTACATCTCTTAACTGCAGCATAAAAACATTCTGCTAATAAAGCATATTCCTTGGGCTGAAATCTGGACTGCCTGCAGTACTGGATACTTTCATAGGTACTTGAAGTTCAGAGGTGGGAAGTAAAATTCAAACTTTGGATCATTAGACAGAACCCGGGTTTCTTATCTATGGGTACTTTCTAGAGCCAACACTGCTCAATAAATGGAGTGTGGGTTTGCTATGGTTGCAGGAATTGCTCTCTCTCTTGAAGCTCTTAGAGCTTTGGGTTCTATGATTCTACTCTGAGCTGAATCCTAGAAACTACTGCCAGGTTTTCAATCTTGCCCTGATTTCTGGCCAGTCCTCTCTTGAGCAACAGGGCGAGGAGGGAAAAAAAGACCAGTTGCCAGCAGCAACTACTTGGCAGCAGCCACTTGGCAGCAACCTCAGGAAACACTTCCACTGTCTCCCATCATTTGCAGCAGTTCCCTCTGCGTGGACAGTAGATGAACCTTGGTGCATCGTTGGTGAGCTCCAAGCCCAGCCTTCCCACCATCAGCAGCACTATGGTGTGAGGGAAAAGCACTCAAAACAGGTTGACCCTGAAGAGAAATGCAACTGGATGTGGCAGCTGCTGGAGGCCCAAGCTTCTTTGCCAGAGTCATGATGAGTGGTAACATTTAAAATCAGCTGAAAGGAGGAAAACTTGAACTGGCCATGTTGGGAATGCCAGACTAGGTAAGCTGTATGAGGACCAGGGGCACCACACAGTATACTGGCTTAAAACTTAAGGTGTTACTTCCACTAGAATAGCTTAGTCCTTTTTCGCTGGGATGTCACCTTTAGAAAGCATCCAAAAATCAAGTCCAGCTTCGTTCTGGGAAGCAAAGGCCAAAATAGAAGGTGGCTCAGTAAGTGAAGGTGCCCAATCATCCTTAGGGGCAACACAGCTCCCCCCTACCACCGGGGAAGGAGTTGAAGCAACTGTCAGGCCTGCTCTTCTCCCTCATTGGAAACGTGCCGGTAGCCGGGGGGCTGAGACTGTATGCGAAAGAGTACAGTCAAGAGGAGGATTATAAGGAGAAGGAGAATGGATCCACACACAGCCAAACCCACAAACAGTTCTGCAAGGGAGAAAACAAGTGGTCAGCATGGTATTGTCCAAGCTTTCCCCTTCTGCCACACTCTGGTGCAACCTGGGCTCACCTGTGTCATGGATGCTGCTGGCTACCTTGCATTCTTGCTCCCAGTCCTGGGGAACAATAGGATCTGTGAGTTGCAAGAATCTTTGCAGTGGGCATTTATGCTCACAGCCAGGGATTGTCAGAGGGAAAGGTTCCTTCCCACTCTCATTCCGGTAAAACATCTCCACGGAGAAGTTACTGTAAACAAAACACAGGAAGATGTTTTTTCTGTTTTTTTTTCTCTAGCTTGTCATCCCTTCCCAAAAACTCAGTGTGCACACCCTTTCCTTTACTCTCATAAATTTTCCTCGTGAGAGTCTGCCACTAGGAGCAAGACTGCATGCCCCTAGGGTGGAGCCTGGCCTAGGTATTTAACCCTGGAGGTGAAATCAGAGCAGACGTCTTTACTGCAGCCCTCACCCATCATCCTCTTGGTACAGTTCAAATAAATGACATGAGGCGTATGGTGCTTGGATCTTGTTGTAGACATCTAGAGCCATCTGCAGTGCCACAAGTGTGGTGTCATGCTGAGAAAGAGGGAAAAAAACCAAATCAGTCACCCTTATGGATGTGGCAGGGCAGCTCAGACCACAGCAGCGCTGAAGGGATGTCATCTCTGTAACTTCCATCTAGAGAAGGGAGAGGAACTGTACTGCCAGAACAGTGATCTGTGACAGAGGGGGAAGGGGAGGAAGTGAAACATTGCCATATATATTCTGCATTGTTTTTTTTAGAATTAATTTCTAGGGAGCAGTTTGGGAGAGATGTTTGACTTTCCAGTCAGTAGGCTGCTGGAAAGGGGAGATGACTGTATCTGTGCTTCTGAAACATCACACTACAGTAGCATCTACCCATCTACTAAGTAAATACAGCAGTGGTTCCCCAAAGTCTGCCAGTCTCATCCATGAGCCTGAGCTAAAAGGCACAAAGACCACACTGGGAGTTTTCATCAGAGGCCCGAGAAGAATGATGCCAGACACTGCGCCTCCCACCTAGCCAGAGGCAAAGATGCATGTCCTGATCACTGCATAAGCTGTAGAGAAGCTAGAAAGGGTTAAAACTATCACCAAGCCCCAATCCCCTGTGGAGCAGGATGAGATGGCTATAAACTAGCACCCTAGCTCTGACTTACCGCTGAAAAGGCAAGTAGTTTCAGGTTCTGATGGGCAGAAACATTTGCTGCTTTGGTTAAGTTTTTCCTTATGTGATCCAGCAGGACCCCTGAGGAAAGAGAACAGCTGGTAAGAGGCAAAAACCAGACAGAGCAGCACAAGGCTCCCTCCCTGGTGCACTCACCGCCTTGCAGACGAGCTTTTTCTACCCGATTGTGGATCCCAAACAGAAATTCAAAACCAAAGTCTTTCAGTTGCTTCAACTGCATCATGACATCTGGTGTCACCCATACAGGCAAATCCATTTTGTGGGCTTGCTAGAAGGAGAAAAGGAATACTCATCTGCAGGTAGCACGGACCGCACATTACTCAGAGAATGGGAGGGTGTCTGGACACCTGCCCATACAGCTACTGATTTCCTATACTCTTAAATATGCAATATGCCCCTTTCCTGTTTATGCTTCTGACCTCACACTGCTGTGCTGCATACAAAGAATATATGTGGGTTTTAATGTTGTTTCAGAAACTAATAATGAGAAGCATAAAGTTTACAATCTAGAAGCCGCAGGGTTATGTTGTAACACGGATACAATAATCATAGGGCATTAACTTTACATGTGGCTCATTCTGCCCTGCAGCTGGCATGCGGTCAAAGAGGAAAAGAAAAGATGAGAGAACACAAGCTTGGAGTTTCTGGTGGACCTGCAGTAGTTTCCTTGAAGGTTCTGAGGGCCACTGAAGGGCATTGGAGAAAGTTAGGAAGTGCTCTGCGGCTGTAACAATGGGATGCACCACTGATAAAGCCCTGTACTCAAACCCCAGAAGCCAGAAAACTGGGAAGCAAGAGAAGAAGTTGCTTTGCAGCCAACCCATTACAAGAAAGGATTAGTTATAATGGCAGACAAAAAGGCAGTTGTGGTTTCCCAGCACTACTTGGAACAATTTTCTGTTACATATCCCATTAGACTGCCAGAAGATGAGGCTGAATATCCTTAAGGGCCCATTCTGTCTGAGCGGTTCAGAGAAATTCCCATCAGCAATTAAGATATTTAGTTAGTTCTTCATTAATTTACAAAGCGAATAAATAGCTGGTAAGTTCAGCAATTTCTTGGACTTTTTTATTGTCTCCAGCCAGACAGCAGAATTAATCTAGTAGCTCAGGTGAGAAAAACAATCCTTCGCTTCAGGACACAGTTTGCATGACTGAGAAAAAAGGATGAAAACCAAAGTAGCTGAAGAGACCGATCAGCTTGAGGGTATAGTTCTGAAATTCCCCTTCCTTAAAAACATTCTGGTGGTTTTGGGACAGTGAGCTATTCTCCAAGTTCTTGGGGATTATAGTGGTTTTCAGCTGGCCTTTCAGGCCATTTGCAAGCTCATTAAGTGACTCTTGGAAGATTTTAAATTCTTGATCTCTCTGACCACAGGATTTTTTTATTACCAACAAAAGTTGATTCACTGTGATTGTTACAAGACAGGAGACTGGGTTTGTGACACAAAGGGCAAATTCACATAGTGCAGTGCAGCTCTGGACTGAAATATTCTTAGCCTGCAGCAACCCAAGATGCTGCTTTACACACCAAA